CTTTGCGCTTTCCCGTATCTAATGGCCTAAAATCTATTGATTCTATCTACTCGTTTTTCATCCACGAGTTTACTTGCCTTGTATCTGCCGCGACATAATACGTCGTGTATTTTGCAATTTATGCTGCTTCCGGTATGTTAGGTAATATATCGCACACGATGAAAAATTATCTTTGGAAATTCCGTTATTAAATTTATGGTAGAGGCTGGTGAGACGAGCTCTAGCAGAATGCAATCATGAACTCATCTAGTTCCAAATATAGCAACATATATTCGTTAAAAGCATGAATTCCATCACACATCGATACGGAAACAACAAACTGCAATTTTCAGCTTCATGATTTCGAGTCGCCTATTTACTGGATGGTCTAATTACTGCAATGTTCAACATTCCCAACCAAATATTCCCTTGCAAATTGTGCCAATTTAATGTAATACATGAGCATTGCTACAATTACCGTCAATCAATTGAAATGTACCGTCCGCTGGAAATTATTTAAAGTTGAAAATCATGAAGTTGGAAGTTTTATGTGTGTTGTGTTTTAGTGGATTTGTGCGATTGATGTTCAAGTGCTTCGAGTGGCGAATATTTCAGGTATTCGCCTAATGCCAATCACATTCAACATTTATTTACTTGCATCAGTTTTTTTTCGTTCAGATATCTGGAAGTATCGGCAGACACTTTGTGCGACATAGAAGAGTGATATGTCGTCTTGTCCATGCTCTCTAGTTGATAAATTATTTCATATTCTATAATTAACCAGGGTAACTATAGAGTGTCCACCGAGCTTTATGAATTTTTCACATTGTTTTTCACCTCATCAAACGCTACTCGATTTCTTTCATCTTCTAACGTCAATAGGAAATTGACTTCTAAATTGATTATTCCAGTCCAAACATTTACGAATAAACTTTTCCCAAAATAAGTTGTCCAATAGCAGGATGATTTTCGATTGCTCACACATGATCAATGTGAAAACTGTTGATCTCATCTCTTGTAAATATCGCTTCATCACAGAAAAGAGTTTTTAGCAGACCATTCATATGATCGATGATATGATCGTTCCTCCATGCACAAAGACAAACTGTTTGGGAGGACAATCCGGAGGCAAAAGTTCTTATACTGGTTGTTAATGATAAAGGTGCAGGTAAAGGTTTTTTCTGAAGAAGTTTTGTGCACACAAGCTTAGCTTGGTCCGTCAAGTGAAGCAATTCTTCTTGAATAAGTACTAGGGTTTTTTCAGCGAATTCTGCAGCAGTATTTTTTTGCAAAACTTCTCTTTCAAAAGTGGATTTAGGAACCTGTTAATCGAAGATTTGTGAAGGTTCTATTGATCGTTTCCTTGTCTAGAAGACGGCGATTATTTTCTCACTGAAAGGTACCAACCTACTATTGCATTACTCAGACACGGTCTCCTCATCAAAATGCATTGAACGAGACAAAAAGAAAATCCTTTTAATTTTTTGTCTTCAATACAGTCTTGTATATCCCCTTCAGAAGTAGCAACTGATACAGGATCATTTCCTGATTATTCCTGTGCCCCTCCACAAAACAGAAAAACCTCCATCCTCTTCAAACTGGAACCTTTCAGTAAAATTTCCTTTTTATTTTTTTACAAACTTCTTTTTGGGTATTTCGTCTCAAAAATTTTTGTCTTTAAAAAAGACAGTATTTCCTCACGTCTTTTATTACAGATTGATAAATAGTGCTCCTATTTCGCAATAAGAACGAATTATTTATCAAAAAGTAATCAAGAACTATCACCTAGAGGGTATCCTGCGACACTTAGGCTCAAGCTGTAAGAGAAAATTCCAATTAGTAGAGAAATTAATTTGAAAAATTACCTTTACGTTTCGATAGCTATTTTCTGCTATCGTTAT